GATTTATTACCTTTATAATTTCCTATGATTGAGTATCACAATCTATATAGATTGATACTAAATTGAGAAAATATATTTCATTCCATTAATTGAAATATTACTATTACATTTATATGATAATGCAATAATCAAATAAATTATTTTAAAATTTTAAAACAATATATTAATAGAATAATGCATAATAGGACGTTGTAGACTCGTATATATATATGAAAAGATTAAATTTTATTATATTTCATTTGATTAATTAATCTAGTACTAATTGAATTAATATAACACATAATAATGCATTAATAAAATACTTTAATGTATATTTACAAAACAATATGAATATAAATTTATAAAAGATTTTGTATATTATTATAAAAGAGATACTAAATTCGATAATATATATATTTATAAAATAAAATAAAATAGAAAATCGAATATTCATACTAAAATCAAAAAATATATTTCAGAAAATAAAAACTATAAATTTTTTTTTTCGAATTTATAGAATCTTAAAATGCATGAAATATTATATATATATATATATATATATATATATATATATATATACACACGTGGTAATTATTAAATGATTGTGTAAATGTAAAATAGGAAAAAACTTAAAAATATCCATAAATAAAAATGCCACCTAATCAATTGAATTCCAACTAAGCAATTTTGACAAATGACATCATTATTTGCCACATGTCAATCATTGAGGGCATAGATTCTCTTTTTATATTATATATAGATTTAGCCCAATTTCATCAATTAACTAATTTTAACCCTAATTTCAATTTTGACCCCAATTTTAACCCTAATTCTTATCAATTCCACCAATTATGCTCTAACTTCCTTAATATTACACATTGACCCCGGATTTAAACAAATATATCACATTAACCCCCCAAATTTTTTTTTTTTCAGAAATTGTTTTTTTTTCTGAAATGTTTTTTTTTTTCGGCCAGATTCCGGCGTTGACCGCCGGAGACCGGCGATCTCCGGCGTTGACTTTTTATTTTTTTTTATTTTTATAATTTTGTTTTTTCTTAATTTTTTTTAATTAATATTACTGTCTTGGCTGCTAAATTACTGTCTCCGGCAGTTATTTAACTGCCGGAGACAGTAATTTAGCTGTTAATTGATTTTTTTTTCTTCAAAAATATTTTAATTAATATTACTGTATTCGTTGCTAAATTACTGTCTCCAGCAGTTATTTAACTGTTGGAGACAGTTATTTAACTGTTAATTGACTTTTTTATTCTTAAAAAAAATATTTTTAATTAATATTACTGTATTCGTTTGCTAAATTACCGTCTCCAACAGTTATTTAACTGTCGGAGACAGTAATTTAACTGTTAATTGGTTTTTTTTCATTTTTTTTCTTAATTTTTTTTTTAATTAATAGTACTGCCTTAGATGCTAAATTACTGTCTTCAACAGTAATTTAACTGTCTTAGACAATAATATTAATAATATTATTGTTCGGAAAAATAATATTCATAATATTACTATTCGGAAAAAATAATATTCATAATATTACTGTCCCAAACAGTAATATTACTGTCTGAGACAGTAATTTAGTAGCTAAAACAGTAATATTAATTAAAATATTTTTTTCTTCTAAGAAAAAAAAAATTCAAAAAAAAAAAAAAGTCAACGCCGGAGACCGGCGGTCAACGGTGGTTGACCGACCGGAAAAAAATTCAGGAAAAAAAAAAGTTTTCAAAAAAAAAAAAAAAAAGTCAACGCCGGAGACCTGGACATTTCAGAAAAAAAAATTATTTTCTGAAAAAAAAAAGTTTTGGGGGTTAATGTGATATATTTGTTTAAATCCAGGGTCAATGTGTAATATTAAGGAAGTTAGATTGGGTGGAATTGATAAGAATTATATTATTGAGGGTATTTTAGACTAAAGACATGGGGATGGGCTTAATTGAGAGACTGTTTTTTTTTTTGACCAAAATGCATTTAAGTCCCATGTGATGGGCCTTTTTGCCATTTGCCATCTGCCCTAGTTTTAATTAATTTAAGGACTAATTTTATTTACCTTCCCTATACTAATGGAAAACCTTCACTTACCTCCCCTGAATTATATGAAATTGGAGAAAATTTTAGTGATGACATCTGTATTGTTTCCGTATCCGAATATATGTTTCTCAATCCTCATTATTTATCATCTTAATTTGGAGTTATTTTAGTCATTTTTTTTATTCTTTTTTTTTTTTCGAGTAAAGTCAATTTAAAATTCACATATATGGAGTTATTTACTTATTTTAGTCATTAATGCACTATTAGCATGTAAATTAATCTTGTAAGTCAAAAACTTGCC